TCATGAGCAAGGTCCTCCATTTTACTAAGACTCATGACACCATGCACAGTCTTGTTCACAATGGTTTGGTCTCAGCAGAGCTGACATACTTTCTACTATTCACACCTCCCATAACACTTATTCTGCATCTATATCTCCCTCTGCTACCATGAGCACACTTTTTGGCTTTTCCTCTGTGCATCCTTATCATCTGTTCCACTTGCTCTTCCTTCCCCTTTGTGAAAAGCATAAAAATTATAATTTTCCAGCCGCCTTCAGTTCAGAAGTCATGTTAGTTTCAAAGCATTAACTCTGTTTCTTCCTCTACAGCAGCTGCTGAGTTTCTCCAGCACTTCCTACTTTTCTTTCCAATCTCTAACCTCCGCTGTACTTTGCTTTTATAACATTTAGTGTTAGATGTTTAGGAATAAAACAGGCATTAGATTGGTCATTGGTTACAGAAACCTTTTATTTCAATTGAAACAGTCTATCAACTTCCTGTCAAGGTTACTAAAGTCAATTATTGCACCATTAACAGAACTAAATGATTTCAATTAAATGGAAAGAGCAAAAATAACATAGTCCAAACTGAACGTGATATTTAGGTAGATAACTGCTATGGTGCGCACGTCGGCTACACTTCACTGCTGAGTAAAATAAATGACAAAACTGACATTAATGCCACTTGGAAAGTGACACATACACAAACTCAATCTCTCATTTGATGTCAAAATAACAGGCTTACTGTAGAATTGGTGGAACTTAACTACTAATCAATAACCCCTTGTGCCATGCCATTAGAAATTTAAAACCATCAATCACTCTACTATTTTCCATTCTGTAATGGAATACAGTAGACTGAATTATTACTGATCCATCATAGCTTCTGTTAAAAATTCAGGAATTAGGATTGAGTTCTCACTCCCAAGTCGTGATCACAGAGTCAGGAGAATTCTGTCTGAATTGTGAGAAAGTGTCCTGGGCAACAGGACTTTCATTCTGGTGGGGGCAGGTATTAATGGGAGTGGGACTCACTGCAGCTGAATAGAATTTGGAGGCACCCACAGGTGCTGTGGTTTGTGAAAGCAAACTGTTTGAAGGGCCCATCTCATTGCTGTGGGACTTTGTCACGGCTGTGTTTAAAAACAAGAAACCAAGGAAACAGTCCTCCAGTCCTTAGCTCTCACATCCCCTCAGACACTTACAATGTCTTACCATGCCTAATGTGATATAATGCCCTTCATCTACCTATACAGCCAATCATGCCTCATGGCCGTCTTATGTCCATTCACCCAAAACCATGATCCCCGTACAATGCCAACCTATACGCTTCCAGCCACACCCATTACTGTTCATACCTCCCATACCAAGTTTAGTATTTGTAATTATTAGTGATGAACTTAATTCAGGAGATCAGAATGTAGGCTCTGTTTTAGTGGAGATGAAGAACATTAAGGGAAAGAGGTCACTAGTACGGGTAGTCTACAGGTCCTCTAATAGTATCCACAATATTAGACTGAGTCCACAAGAAAAAATATTGGCTGCCTGAGATAAAGGGACCTCAATAATCATAGAATCCTTACCGTGTGGAAGCAGGCCATTCAGCCCATTGAGTCAACACCGAGTCTCAGAAGAGCATCCCACCCAGACCCAACCCTATTCTAAACACTATGGGCAATTTAGCACAGCCAATCCATCTAGCCTGCACAACTTTAGACTGTGGGAGGAAACCAATGCCCACAGAGGAAACCCGCACAGACACAGGGAGAATGTGCAAACTCCACACAGACAGTCGCCTGAGGCTGGAATCAAACCTGGGTCCCTGGCGCTGTGAGGCAGCAGTGCTAACCACTGAGCCACCGTGACATTATCTACATATAAACTGGAAAAAAAGATTGGCAGTCATAGCCTGGATGAGGCGTTTAAAGTATGCTGAAATTGATCAGACAGCAAGCTATATTAGACTTGGTATTTTGTAACGTGACAGGATTAACTAATGGCCTCAGAGTAAAGGCATCCCTAGGTAGCAGCAACCATGGTATGATTGAATTTTACACTTTTTTATTCTGTCATGGGATGTGGGAAGTATTGGCTGAGCCAGCACGTATTACCCATCTCTAGTTCTGCTCGTGAAGGTGGTGGTGAGCTGCCTTCATGAACCGTGCAGTCAATTTGGAAAAATCAGTACACTGTCTAAGATCAGTATTTTAAACTTAAGTAAAGGCAACTACATCGGCATGGAACCTAATTATCTGGTAGCTCCAGAGGGCAGGACATCCTCCTAGTGAGGGTGGAAGTTCCACTAGGAATTTGTTTGGTTCATCTGCAGTACTTACTGGCTGGGGAAGCGGGGAGAACAAGCCAACCATTCCCTGCTATTTACTGGTTTTGTGTCGATGTAAAAATGCCCTTACACTTTCGTCAATTGCCCTAAAACTCTGTCAAGTTCACTAATGTCTTTGAGGGAAACAAATTTGCCATCCTTGCATGATGAGGCCTTTATGTGACTCCATACCCACAGAGACGTGGTTGACTCTCAGCTGCCTTCTAAAATAGTCCCGGAAGCCACTACAAAAAAGCCAAAAAGGACTCATGCTGAGGGAAAGGAAATAAATATAATAACTATCACTCGAGATAAATTGCTACAAGAAGGTGATGGGGCTAAAGATCTAATGGGATGAATTCTAGGATATTAGAATACTTCTAGAAAGTAGATGCACTGGTAGTAATTTTCCAGGAATCCTTAGATTCTAGAAAAAAATCCCAGGGAAATGGAAAACTGCCAATGTAACACCTATATTTTGAAAAGGGGGAAAAGAAAGGCCTGTTAATGTCTGCTAGTGGGAAAGTATTCGAGTCTATTACTAAGGATTTAATAGCAGAGCATTTAGAAATACATAATATGATCAAGGATGGTCAGCATGACTTCATGAAGGCAAAATCATGCCTGACAAATATACTAGAATTCTTTGAGGAGGTAACAAGCTGGATAGATCATCGGGAAGCAATGGATGTAACACATTTGGATTTTCAGAAGATTGTAGATGAGGTATCATCCATTAGGCTACTTAATCAGAGCGCATGTTGTTGGAGGCAGCATATTAGCATGAATAGAGGACTGGCTAACTGACGAAAGGCAAAGAGTTGGGATGAGGGGGTGCTTTTTCAGGATGGCAACATGGAGTGCTGAGGCCACAATTATTTACAATATATGTTAATGACTTGGATGAGGAAAGTGAATGTGCTATAGCCACGTTTGTGGATGATGTACAAATATGTGGGAAAGCAAGTGGTGCAGATGACGCAAAGAGTCTGCAAAGGACTTTGGACAAGTTAAGCAAGTGGGCAAAATCTTAGGAGATGGAACATAATTTGGGAAACTTTGAGGTTATGCACGTTGGCAGGAAGGATAGAGGAGGTGAATATTATTTAAATGAAGGAAGACTAAGGAACACAGAATTACGAAGGTTCACGACCCTCCCAATAAAATAATTTCTCCTCATCTCCAACTTAACTGGCAACACCTTGTTTTTGAACTATGCCTCCTACTTTTAGATTCCCAAACCAGGGGAAACATCTTACCTGCATCTATCCTCCTATCCTTTTAAGTATTTTGGAGATTTCTAGAGAACTCTAGAGAACAAAGACCCAGTTTGCCCAATCCCTCTTCATAGGACAGTCCCATTATCTGGGAACAAGTCTAGTGAAACTTTACTGCACTTCCTCTATGGCAATAGTATCTTTCCTGAGACAAGGAGACAAAAACTGTACTCCAATTGTAGTCTAAACAAGATCTTATACATTTGAAGCAAGACTTCACTACTCCAGTACTCAAACCTCCCTGTAATAAAGACTAACATTCCATTAACCTTTCTAATAGCTTGCTGCATTATGTATTAGTCTTCGAGAACTTATTGACCAGGACACCGAGGTCCTTTTGTGCATTTTCCAACCTCTTACCATTTAATATATACTATGTAATACTCAGAAGAAAGCACTGTAAAGTACGCACAGGATAGTTGCCTCCAGGTAAATAGTAAAGTGAGTGAGCTCTAAAGTGACAAGAGAAGGGCCAAAGACACATTGTGTGAAGATACATGAGATGTGTGCGTGTGCCCTAAACATAGTGGAACCTGGCAAAAACATGTAAGTTACATGTGTCCCTGACCTCCAAACTAAAGTGTTGAAGTGCTGAAGTGATGTGCAAGTTGATCTGAGAGCAGGCATGGTGATGTGGTTTGGCGATGTTGACTTCTGTTGATGAGTGATTCATGAGGATTGTGGCTGTGGAGCATGTAGGGATGGCATTCTGAAGAACCAGTTGCATGGTGGTAGACAAACAGGAGGCTGGAAGAACATAGCAGGCCAGGCAGCATCTAGAGGAAAAGAGCAGTCAACATTTCTGGTAGTTAGCATTCAGCAAGCTGCAGCACCAGTGTGTGCTCTGGCTTATCTGTTAAGAACTTGTGCTGTCTAATTTCTCAGTGGAGGAGAGGATCAATTAGGCAAGCTGGGGCTTTAGTGAGATGCAAACACTTGGAGCCAAGGTAGTTGTCACTCAGTGGTGAGATTCTGAATTTACTTGAGGTGAAAATTGGGAAAAATTTTCTCCATGTCAAACATCATGATTTCTTCATTCGCATCACATTTTCCCACCTTTCCCACCATTGCTCCTTCTGCACCAGGGAGGGGAAAATTCCACCTCGAGTTTACGAAGTAAGAATACAGAACATTTTAAAAATTTTACCCACAAAATACCTTATGTCATATGTTCTCCTTGACACTTCATAGTAATCACTATTATGTCATGACTATTACAACAACTGCAAAATCCACACTGAAGATATAGCGGGGGTAACGATAAGTTTTATTATAATTCATGAAGGTTATATTTTGGTTTGGTTTTTTGCAAACTGTTGAAACAACAAAGGAAATAGTCACAAAAGGAAGTACCCAAATTATACCAACAGAACATTCATAGAAGGCAAATTATCCACAGAACATGAAAAGAATAGGCTTACCTTTTTATTGCTTTGTAGCAGATAATGACAGCTATCACCAGGAAAGCAAGAATGGCGCAACTCACTGCAATTAAAATGACGATGTCCGTCCACCAGGGTTTTAATGGAGGATAATCTGTCGGTTTTACAGCTACATGGAAAAGAAAGAAAAGAGTTATCTTTGTATATTAAGAATTTAAAGTCATGCAGCAAAGTTTGTTCCGCACAAATATTGGGAAACAGTAACAACAGTATCTCTTTTAGTATTGAAAATGTGGAATTATACAATATCCGAAGAAGACCAAAGACTGGTCATTGTAGCTTATATGTTATTGCTGCCATTTTATCACAATTTTAAAGGCACTTTTGTTTAGTAGAGCAATGAAACAAATTAGCACATTTTAACTTGTAGGTGAAGCAGAGTTTTACCTGCACTTCACACAATCTAGCATTTGCTGCTCACAGTGTGGTCTCTCCTCTGCATTGGAAAAATGAAGCATAGACTGGGTGACTGCTTTGCAGAACACTTGCATTCTGTCTGCAAAACAGATCCTGAACTTTCAGTTGTCTGCCACTTCAACACACCACCCTGTTTCCTGGCCAACTTCTCTGACTCAAGCTGCTGCAGTGCTCTAGTGAAGCTCAGCACGAGCTGGAAGAACAGTGCCTCATTTTCAACTTGGGGACCTTGCAGCCCTCTGGACTCAATATCGAGTTCTTTGGTTTTGAGCTCTCCCATGTCCTCATCCCAATGCCCACAAACCAGGCCTTGTTATCACATTGTCTACTATTACACACCACCCATTGTTAGCCATTAACAGTCCCCATTAATAGCTAATTCATCCTCTTAGCAAGATCATTATCCACTCCTTTGTATATCCAACTGCTCTTCTCCCTTGGGCTCCATCCCCACCTATCGTTTACTCCTTACCCTCTGCCCCAACCCTATCTTCCGCATGTAAACCGATATTTTCCTAGCTACTATCAGTTCGGAGGAAGGGTCACTCAACCTGAAACGTTAACTCTGATTTCTCGCCACAGATGCTGCCAAACCTGCTGAGCTTTTCCAGCAATTTCTATTTTTGTCTCTGATTTACAGCATCCGCTTTCTTTCGGTTTTCATTAACTTTTTATTAACCAGAAACTCAACTAGACTCACCACATTAATAGAGTGGCTACAAGAGCAGGCCAGAAGCTGGGAATACGGTGGTGAGTAACTCACATCCTGACTCCTCAAAGCCTGTCCACCATCTACAAGGAACAAGTCAGGAGTGTGATGGAACACTCCCCACTTGCCTAGATGAGTGCTGCCCCAACAATGCTCAAGAAGCTTGACACCATCCAGGACAAAGCAGCCCGCTTGATTGGCACTACGTCCACAAGCATTCACTCCCTCTACCACCAACACTCAGTACACACTGCTGTTACTATCTACAAGATGCACTGCAGAAATTCACCAAAGATCCTCAGACAGTATCTTCCAAACCCACAACCACTTCCATCTAGAAGGACAAGGGCAGCAGACATATGGGAACACCACCACCTCCAAGTTCCCCTCCAAGTCACTCACCATCCTGACTTGGAAATATATCGCCGTTCCTTCACTGTCGTTGGGTCAAAATCCTCAAATTCTCTCCCTAATAGCATTGTGTGTCAACCCACAGCAGGAGGACTGCAGCGGTTCAAGGAGGCAGCTCACCACCATCTTCCCAAGGGTAACTAGGGATGGGCAAGAAATGCTGGCCAGCCAGTGACGCCCACATCCCACAAATGAATAAAAAAAACTTGCATTGGTTTTGTTTGAACTTGGATTTTTGACTTTGGTTGAAAGTTCAGAAGAACATAAGAACCAGGAGCAGGAGTAGGCCATGTGGCTTTTTGAGCCTGCTTTGCTACTCAATAAGATCATGGCTGATCTTTTCGTCGCCTCAGCTCCACTTACCCATCCGCTCACCATGACTCCTAAATCCTTCACTGATCAAAAAATTATCTATTTAGCTTTAAAAACATTCACTCAGGAAGCCTCAACTACTTCATGGGGAAGGGAATTCCAAAAATTCACAACCCTTTGGTGAAGAAGTTCCTCCCCAATTCAGTCCTAAATCTGCCCCCCTTAATTTTGAGGCTATGCCCTCTTGTTCTAGTTTCACCCACCAGTGGACACATCTTCCTTGCTTCTATCTTATCCATTCCTTTCATAATTTTATATGTTTCTATAAGATCCTGCCTCATTCTTCTAAATTCCAATGAATATAATCCCAGTCTACTCAGTCTCCCCTCAGCAGCCAACCCTCTCAACTCCAGAACCAACCTAGTTAATCTCCTCTGCACCCCCTCCAGTGCCAGTACATCCTTTCTCTCCTTTCTAAGAAGACCAAAGCTGCATGCAGTACTCCAGTATGGCCTCACCAGTGCCCTATACAGCTGAAGCTTTCATACGTGGCCTTGCTCTTCTGCCAGCAGCATTCCATCTGCACCCAAAATCTCTTGCCCACTCAGGCTGTCATCCATGCAAGCAAATGGCACCTCTTTACCAAGTGCCCTTTACTCTGCTGACCCTCCTATGGGATTAAGATGATACATGTGCAAGCTTGATTGGGAATTCAATGTTTACCTGCCTCCTCTTAGCTGCTAAGCAATGGCAACTCTGAAAGCCCACCTGTCCCTTTAAATAGTCCCCTCTTGCCTTTCCACACGTTGTAAACAAGATTGTAACAAATTTAATTCACTTGAATTGGAAGGAGAGTGTGATTCCTGTTCTGCACCCCACCTCAGCCCTCTGCTCATAATTACCAGCACTGGACTTGAAATTCATATGCCACTCAATGCCCATTTTTTCAGACAGCCCCCACCCATGACCTCCAATTCGGTTTTGAGGGACCATGAAAGTTCAGTTCACAAAGCAACATTAATTTTGATTTCAGGGCATCTTAGTTTTGCAGATATTTCTTGGGCATAATTGCACAATTTTAATTTTACTGACAACTGAAATCAGAAATACTGCTGAGCATAGGTTTGGAGCACTGTACAAAAAGTATACATACTTGTGCAGAAGTGTAAGGCTGTCATAAAATTATAATTCTTTATTTGATTGTCAACTGGTAGAAATTAAAAAGCTGCTTCTTTAACGTACCAAAGATTCTACAATAAAAGTTAAAAAGCAATTTTAAATTTAATTTTTATAACTTTATTATTTCACATTCCATTCCTATACTTAAAATGTATAATCCACATTCAAAAACGCTACATCAAATAATAAACTACTTTAAAATGTTGTAGACTGAAACAGACTGATGCAAACCAATTATTGACCAAAATATTTCTCCAACAGGTTTCTGCTGAAAATGTATTACTAATATCAGGTTAAAGGAGCAGCATCTTGTGACCTGATGCTTCTAAAGGTGAAAGTAATTTCTTACAGAGGTACAATAATTTAATGTCTATCATATATTTAATTACTCTGGGTATAGCACACACATGCATTTTCCCTATCTGAGAGACTGCACAGAGATTTTTGCAATCTATAATCTTTTCTAAAAGCGATGTGTTTGGTCATCGAACTGCGATAAGGAAAATGCTACTGCTGCGTGACAGAATCAGGAAACCAAATGCTAATAGATTGATTTTACAAACTTTATCACATAAGTGAAATTGCTGAAGAAATAAATTGGAACCTTTCCAAAATCACAAGGAAGAGACAAATGAGAAGAAGCCATTCAGCCTCTGATTCTTTTTTCCCCTGACATAACATATAAATTATTGTACATCCTTCTCATTATTGATTCATTGTTGCTATCATCAGCCATAATCTGTATTGTAGCATTTTTTTCTAATTGTGTTTTGTTGAGGGCAATTTTTGTGACATTGAGTTAAGGAAAATGCTATCAAGCGTTGTGTGATACTGCCTAACAAGCATATTGTTTCACATCTCATTCCTACACTTTATATGTATGATCCACATTCAAAAATGCCATATCAAATAATAAACTTCACTTTGAAATACTGTAGGCTAAAACAGACTGTTGCAAACCAGTTGCTATCCAGAATGTTTCTCCAACAGATTTCCCTAACAATAACATGCCCATATTTGAGGCTACTTCAGAAACATTTGAAACAAGATAAAGCCTATAGAAACACATTGAGCAATATGCAATTTCATCAGAACTATATGGTTATATGAATAGGAATGATTTAAGAGGGATATGGGCAAAATGCTGGCAAATGGGACCAGATTAATTTAGGATATCTGGTCGGCATGTACGAGTTGGACCGAAGGGTCTGTCTCCATGCAGTACAGCTCTATGACTCCATGACCTGAACATTGCCCTGGGTTTATTTAAAAATTGCATAGCAGTTTCTTTTAAAAAATGCATGGTGTGAGGATCAAAAAACAGATGCTTCCCGGCGCACATGTACTAGAATTCCACTCTCTTGCTATATGTATTATCACTTGAATGGCAGTGACAGAGTTACTGCCCCTCAAGTACAACAACTGTCAGCTCATTCTCTGTTAAGACGGAAATAAAAATTGGTAAGTTTCATTAAGGGGCTGGCAATCAGTTCCACCATTATACCACTTAAGTGAGGTGGGCAAAAATGTTTCACATAGTTACCACACAATCACGGGGAGTTCAGGGCTTTCTTATCATTTTCAAATCAGCTGTGACAGCATAAAATAAGTAACGTGGTAGAATGCATAAGAGCCCTTAACATAGGTTTTGAACTGAAAGTGCAACAGTACTGAATGTTTGTAAATTAAAATCTGGGAGTGTTGCTAGAAGAAATATCTGTAGTAAAGTCTATTCAATTTTGTAAAAGTTGTGAATGGAATATATGCAATACAACACACTAAAACATATGACAAAGCCTGCATACATTCAACCTGTCTGTGAAATTACATGTTTGTAAATCCTTTGTAACTCAAACAGATAGATCTTGGAATGCATAATAGGGAATTTTGATTCCATTGTTGCTTTCTACATGGTAATTGCCTCAGAAAATGAAACATAGTTTAAATAACATCTCAGGGAGAGAAATTGTGGGAGTTCATCGGGTTTCAGGCCACTGATAATCAGAACAATATTTGTTTTAACCAAAAAGCCCAAAATACATAACCAGATGAAATGTAACAACACAATCAAAATCAAACCT